AAGGGGGGGTTAAAATGTTCATGCTGCCTGTGGTAGAGTATGGATTGGATATTTTCTGGAATCACCCATTGAGCAGTAAATTATGCTTTCAGGTTAAGTATGTCCAAAATGTGCAAGTTTTCAAATCCAGTCCAAATTCAAACATGTAGATTCACAAACATTTTTTATATTTTTCTTCATGAAATACTAATAGTTTCACAAGGGGGATTTAAACATAATATTGTAAGTGTCTCACACATTCTTAGAAAGGCCTCACTATATATATAGTATTTTGGTGTCTTGCAATCATTTCTAAAGTTCGAAGCAGACTTAACTTCCCGCAGGCCTAACCAAACAAATGTCTTGTACAAACAAGTCCATCTCTTTCTTCACGAAATACATTGAACTGTCTAACAGCTTCTTGCTGATAAGGATTTAAATCAATGGTAATTTAATAAATTAATGTTCAAGCCCAGTGAAAGACCTTGCTCCTATCCATTGAAGTCTTTTGCCAAATTTCTCTGGTGCCAAAGTTCCCTGCCTTGATGGGGAAGTGCACTCTGATTCGGCCACATGCATAGCCCTGTATTTCAGCAGACATTCAAGGGTGAGGAAGACTGCATCTGTGTTGGATGTTAAGCTACTCATACCTATGGATCAACTTTTTCATGCCGATCTGTAATTTTTGGGCTGCTACATCTTGGCAATTAATAAAGATCACAATTTGCTTGCAAGAAAGAAAACATATTTGGATGTTGAACATTATCTCTTCAAGTTTCATTATATAATTCCTTAAATATGTATTCCTTAAGGACGTTCTTGCTAATTGTTTCTGGGCATCCTTACTGCGCACTCAAATTCACACACCATGTCATGCATGGGAGTGCGTGCTAAGTAATAAAATGAACATTGATAGGGCAGATGGCTTTTGCTATAGCTTTGCCTGGATTTAATGATCTTGGAGGTTCAGTGACCCCAACTTTTCTTTCCAGAAGCAGATTTTATTTACAATTATCTCCACATTGTCCAAAAATGAACAAAGAAATCAATGTGTGAAGTTCAAAAAAAAATTCAAGGTTTCTCTCCACTGGACATCGCATCCTGCCATCTTGTGGCTGCAAGGCATGTGAAACTATGGTCACTAAAATAATGTGAACTTGCTCTTTAAGGAACCTCACCAGTTGACTAAATACAATTAATAGGTCCACTTAAACAATATTTTGCAGAGAACATTTCTTTTCAATGATCTAATTTCAATATTTTTGGGCTTACAGACACTGTGGCCCCATTCGCTAACGAAGCCCGATTTTTTCAGATTTAGGATGTTCTTCCTGGCATGTTCTCTTCAAAACAAAGTCCATGACTCACCATTTTTTACATTTCTGACATAACTAACTCATCATCTTACAGTGGTAAAAGTCTCAAAAAAAATCAATATTGGAAAAGTGAAGGAAGGTAGTGTGAAAAAAAGCTCTGTTTGAAGAGGGTTTAACTTGATAATTTACTGAGATTTTGCAAGGAAGAATTATGTACACAGTACAAGAACATGCATATGACTACCATGTTACGAAATAAAACATAACAGGAATTGTACACTGGAGTGCAACAGGATGTACACACTGAATCTATCAATCAATTTTAATCCTCTGCAGAACCTCAAAGTGTGGCAGCTGCCAACACCACTGCCTCTACTCTGCCTTCCACTGTGACTGCTGCTGCTGGTGCTGCTGAGGCAGCTAGTGTACCAGCCCCCAGTTCTTCTGCTGCTGTTAGGAGAACTGGTGTCCCAACCACCACTGCTGATGGTAAACAAGATGTAGAAAAATTAGCAACAAAACTTGCCTCCAGCTTGACTACAAAAGGTAAATTTAATGGTTTGATTCTGAATATTGACTGTCAGCATTTTTAGAAGTTGTTGTAATTCTTTCACAGATACACATAGCAGCTAAAATGTACATTGTAACCTTGGAAAGACAATCAGGAAAGGGATGAAACTATTTATATACATGTGCACTTTGTTATTACCCGTAGCCAACATTAACACACACAGAACAAGACTGCACCTACAGTATACATGTAGCTGGAAGCTTTTTTACTGTACATGCACCAAGTTTGTTACACACAGGCACTGTACAGCATTAAGCTTGCAGTGTTCGTGTGCAGCCAAAGTGATGCTGCAGTTGAGAAGTGGTTCTGGGCTTTCTTGCAACATTTTGACTGCATCAATGTTATTGATGGCCCATCTGTAATTATGGTTGCAAGTCAGATTAATTTAAATTATTTCAAGACCACGGTACATTTAAAAAACAATACCAAATCTGATTTGCAGGTATGGAATTTGAGAGTAACTTGTCTCAAGTTATTTTTAATTAAGTTGTTAATGTATAAAGTTGATTCTTCTCCAACACACAGCTCGTCAAACACAAGGAAATGGTGGGCCACATCCCCCTAAAAGACCAGGTTATGGTACTGTAGGCCGCCCTATAAGGTTAAGGGCAAACTTCTTCCACCTCAATGTTTCATCACAACTATCAGATCTCTACCACTATGATGTAGTGATTACCCCAAACAAGTGTCCCCGATCAGTGAAGAGAGACGTTGTGAATGAAATCATAAGGAGGTACAAAGATACAACATTCCAAGGTCACCACCCTGCTTTTGATGGCGAGAAGAATTTGTATAGCAGAATCAAACTTCCTCCAGTGAGTTTAGGTCTTACTGCTGTGTAAAACTCCTGAACCGTAAGGGACCTGGAGATATTGCATTTACATGATTGTGTATATTAGAGAGACAAATCCTATTACATTTAAG